CTTGCTTTTCTTCCTCTACAGCTTCATTTATGCTCCTTCTAGCACTCTCAGGAGTGTATTGTAGTCACTCACACAGATCCTAGCCAATTAACTATGGAAGGGGTACAGCTCAGTGGGGCAGAAGGGTTTTGTGGTTAACACACTGACTTTAGCCTCAGGAATACTGGGTTTGAATCCCAGTTCTGCTATGTGAGATCTGGAGCAAGTCACCTAATCTGTCTTTGTGCCTCAGTTCTCATGGGGATAATGTACCTTCCTTTCTCCCACTCTTTGAGTATTTCAATTGTACACTCTTTAGTGCAGCAATTGTCCTTTACAATGGATGAGTACAGCACCCAGTATGATGGAGTGCCAATCTCCTTTGGGACAGAAGGGAACTACTGCAATAATGAGCTGTGAACAGAGGACTAATAGTCTTTTAGCCAGCATTGGCACTTGTATCATGAAGTGTTGTGTATCTTGACTTTCCTGCACATTATTTCTGAGTTTGCATAAGGGGAACTGGAATGTAGTCATGATAAAGAGTGGAAGATACAGTATTCATCACATTCTCCTCTTCTCCCTTTCAGTGATAATGAAGAACAACTTGATTAGTTCAGTATGGACCTCTGAAATAGATCTCTATCCGACAGTATCACCAGAATTGTATTGGACACTCCCTGGAGCCGGGAAATGCCTTGTGACTTTTGGCTCAGAGCGGGATGTTTAAACGACTGTTCTGGAACTTTGTTTTCACACTGTCCCTTTGTGACGCTCTATACCTCGGGGGAACACCCTACACCCCCATGTTCATCTTTATAAAATGATTGTGTGGTATCCAATGCAAAGTTTGTCATGTTGGGTGTCTTTGGAAGGCTCATAATGCACTGAGCATGGTTGTTATAGTAATTGTTACAGTAATGTTATAGTAAGATTATAGGTTGTAATTTCATGTATATAGTTATGAGGCTGAAAATGTATCCTCATGGTTTAAAGAAAGCCCATGCAAAAACTCTCCAAGAACTGAGAGGCAGTTCACACCTCACCAGGGCATAGATGGGACAAACCCAGCCCAGCCTCACAGGAACAATGGACACTGGCTTAGGCAGCAACAAAAGAATCTGTCAGACCGTCGAGGGAGTCACCCCCTTCCTTTGGGACTGCGATGAGGTAATGCTCACCTGACTCTGAAGGGGAGGAGTGGGGCAAAGCCAAGAGGAAAGAAAGGACATGATAAAAGGGAGAGACATTTTGCCATGCTCCCTCTCTTCCACCTACATCTACAGACACCACCACCACCAAGCAACTGAACCACTGATCAAAGGGGAGAACCTGGCTGAAGAGCCAGTCTGTAGTGAGAAGCATCTAAGTTGTAAGGACATTGAAAGTGTTAAGATCAGCTTAGAATGTGTTTTGCTTTTATTTCATTTGACCAAATCTGACTTATTATGCTTTGACTTATAATCACTTAAATCTACCTTCATAGTTAATAAATCTGTTTATTCTACCTGAAGCAGTGCATTTTGTTTGCAGTGTGTCAGAGACTCCCCTGGGGAGAACAAGCCTGGTACATATCAATTTCTTTGTTAAATTGACAAACTTATATAAACTTTCAGCGTCCAGTGGGCATAACTGGACACTGCAAGATGGAGGTTCCTAGGGTTGTTTCTGGGACCAGAGATATTGGCTAGTGTCATTTGCTTGCAAGTAGCTGGGAGCAGCTTACATGCCAGAGGCTATGCATGAACAGCCCAGGAGTGGGGGTCCTCACAGCAGGGTGGGGTAAGGCTGGCTCCCAGAGTCAAGGATTGGAGTGGCCTAGCAGATCACCGGTCCAGATAACACCAGAGGGGAGCGTCATACCCTTAGAATCCCGATGATGCACAAATGCAATGTATGCCGACAGGAATTCAGCAGATTCAGCAGCCCACTCCCACCCCACAATCTACAGCTGATTTTGCAAAAGGAAACCAAATGGGTGGCTCAATCCTCTGCAGAGCAGCACGCCCAAATCACAACTGCACACACACACGCCCATTTGCGAAGAAAACCAGGACAATGGTCTGACTACCTTGTATGAATTAAACTCCTTACTACAGTAAATGGAAAGCAGTGACACAGTTAGGGAAACAGCTGTTGGACACAGCCAGAAGTGAGTTCCTTTGGGTCAAATTCTGGACCTGACGCAAAGCCCAAGGAGCTGGACTGTATGTTGGGAAGGTGTGGTAGAAAGAAATCCTTCCCCACATCATGGAGATGATCCATGGTAGTTATCTCTGGCCTCCCCTTCTTCAGGAGGGAGAGCCTAGCAGATCTGCATCACTCTTTCCTTAGCCTCCCCCCTCCTTCCCATACACTGAGAGCTTCCATGGAGCTGTTCTGGGCCCCCATCCAGGGCTCTCCACATCGGCCCCACCCGACACAGTCACCTGATCTGTGAGATGGGAGCGGGGAGGAGAGCAGAGGGGGTGTGAATTGCTGACTCCTTCCACTTAATGCTCCTAGCAAAACCTTAATCCACACCCTGCAGGACATGCTTGTGTCCAGTCCATCAGGTACAGAGTTTATTTGCTAGAGCCATCCTGATCTTACTCAGAAGTCATCTACTACAGGACAGGCCCAAAAAGGAAAATAACAGAACACCACTGGCCATCACATACAGCCCCCCAGCTAAAACCTCTCCAGCACATTATCAATGATCTACAACCGATCCTGGAAAATGATCCCTCACTCTCACAGAGCTTGGGAGGCAGGCCAGTCCTCGCTTACAGACAGCCCTCCAACCTGAAGCAAATACTCACCAGCAACTACACACCACACCACAGAAACACTAACCCAGGAACCAATCGCTGTAGCAAACCTCATTGCCTACTCTGTCCCCATATCTACTCTAGCGACACCATCAGAGGACCCAGCCACATCAGCCACACCATCAAGGGCTCATTCACCTGCACATCTACTAATGTGATATATGCCATCATGTGCCAGCAATGCTCCTCTGCCTTGTACATTGGCCAAACTGGACTGTCCCTAAGTAAAATAATAAATGGACACAAATCGGACATCAGGAATGGTAACATATAAAAGGCAGTAGGAGAACACTTCAATCTTCCTGGACATTCTATAACAGATTTAAAAGTAGCTATATTTGAACAAAAAAACTTCAGAAACAGACTTCAAAGAGAAACTGCAGAACTAAAATTCATTTGCAAATTTAACACCATTAATTTGGGCTTGAATAGGGACTGGGAGTGGCTGGCTCATTACAAAAGCAGTTTTGCCTCTCCTGGAATTGACACCTCCTCATCAATTATTGAGAGTGGACTACATCCATCCTGATCGAATTCGCCCTGTCAACACTGGTTCTCCACTTGTGAGGTAACTCCCTTCTCTTCATGTGTCATTATATAATGCCTGCATCTGTAATTTTCACTCCATGCATCTGAAGAAGTATTTTTTTTACCCACAAAAGCTTATGCCCAAATAAATCTGTTAGTCTTTAAGGTGCCACCGGACTCCTTGTTGTTTTTGTGGATAGAGACTTACATGGCTATCCCCTGATACTTACTCTTATTAGTGACTTCTTCTCTTAAGAGACCACCCCAATGTCTCCCTACATGTACTGGGCCAACTCGGCTCTAAGTCACGCTCGCCTCAGTCAGAAGTAACTCCATGGATTTCAGTGAAGTGACACCAGAGCTCCATGAGTGCAACTGGGAATGTTGAGTATAGATCTGTTCCATCTTTATTACCAGATCTCCACTATTAAGTAACCAAGCCCTTGAGCAGTTGTTTCCAACAGGTATTTTATTGCCTGTTCTGTTCCTGTACAGCTCTATGGAAACCCTCAATAGAGAAAATGTTAAAAGAAACAGTTCCCCTTTTCTCACCAAGTCCCAGGCTCTGACACACCATGTTGGCTAATATCAAGGTATTCCTAAAGGGAAATTTTCCTCACCTGTTCATCTTCTTTCTTTGAGATCGTCTAAACCAGTGGTTATTGTTCCTCCCAACCAAATGTTTGGATTGGTACAGCAGATCAGAGAGAATTTCCCCCTCCTAATAAAGCCCCAGATCAGAACAGATCTGGGGCCTGATTTTTACTTACGTTATCCATGCGGTTGCAAGCAAAACACATGCTCCCTTGTGCATGTAGGTTGTGTGTGCACTAAACACAACTGCATGCGTCGGAGAGGTAGTAATGCCTATTTCGCACATGTAGTTACCAACTCTGCATACCCTTTTGGGGTGGCAAAGCATTTTTACGATTCCAACTGTGCATTGAACATTGGCTCCTACGCTTTCCTTACACAGTGTTAATGCTACTGCTTGTTGATTCGTAAGATGCTCCAAATGAGGCACTGGCTGCCACATTAAACAAAGATATGGATGTCCCCGATGGAGAGGCTAACATCAGGATAGTCGCCCCTTTCAGGCTGTCACTAACCTCTGAACAGGAGCTCCCACTGCTTCCTGTGGCATCTGTGGGGTCAGTTGCATCATTCTGCCAGGCAGCTCTCAGTTTCTGTTAAGGCCCAGTTTATTTGAACAGACCCTGGAATCACAGGGTCATTGGAGCAGGGGTAGCAATGCCAAGGAAACATTCACTTCCAGAGCAGGACAATCTGTTCTGCCTCTCCCTGGGGAGAAGCTTTAAACTCTGGCTTCATGGGGACACTCACAGGGGAACCCATGGGGCCAAGCTGGCTGCATTGTCCAAGCAGAATGGAGTGGGAAGCAAGGCTGCCCTGGGGGTTAGTTCAGCCAATGCCCAATTTGTGAGGCCCTCCTGGATTCCTTGAGGGTTCTTGATGCTGGAAAAGGGAGACAGCTTCTCTGTAGGCAACGAGAATGTTCAGCACCAGGTTTCAGAGTAACAGCCATGTTAGTCTGTATTCGCAAAAAGAAAAGGAGTACTTGTGGCACCTTAGAGACTAACCAATTTATTTGAGCATGAGCTTTCGTGAGCTACAGCTGAAGCTCACGAAAGCTCATGCTCAAATAAATTGGTTAGTCTCTAAGGTGCCACAAGTACTCCTTTTCTTTCAGCACCAGGATCTCTCAGTCCTGGGCTTCCCTACTTTGCCTCACCAACAAGAGCATGAACCTGCTGCTGGAAAACCACCCGTCGCTGAGTTAGATGGGGTGGAGTCAGACTCATGGCCAAGTTTTTGGTTTGCTGAAGGGTCTTTGCATCACTAGGGGAAACACATTCTTAGAGGTCCTGGGGTTATGTAGGGGCCGCTGTAGCACCACTAAGCCACCTCCTTGCATGAGAGGCATGGCTAGGGATGAGGGGCATGGCTCCTGCTGATCCCTGGACAGCACAGTGCTCCCTACTGGCTGCTGTTAGCCAGTGTAGTTCACAGAAGTCCAGGCTGGAACAGTTTTGAACAGCCTCTGATCCCTTTTGTTTGGAGTTGTCAATATAACATCAGCACCCAGACTGTGCCCAGCTTTGGCAAATCACAGTGAGCTCATGGGCTGCTCTGACTTTACATCAACTAGAGCCCTTTGCAGCCATCCTCACCTTTCATACCTTGACTGTGCAGATCAAGGCAGAGTGTTGCATTCTGAGACCTGCAGTGCCAGATCCCCAGGTGATGTAAATGGGTGTAGCTCCATTGGGGTCAATGGGTCAGATTCCTAGCTGGCATAAATGGGCATAGCTCTGCTGATGACAATGAGACAGATCCGCAGAGGGTGTCAATCAGCATAGCATCCCTGAAGTCAGTGAAGATTGACATTCATGGAGGCTCTGGCTGGAAGTCTCTGTGAGCTGCCCTGGTGTGTCTGAGAGGAGAGTAGCTGCAGGGCCCAGGCTGTGTTTGCTCTGCAGCGGCTCATCACAATCACTTGACAGTGGCAGGTTTCCCCACCCCATGCCCTGCCTGTCCTTCCTCCTCCTGTGAGGGAAGGTGTTTCCCTTTGCAAGGCATAGTGCCTTCCTTCTCCAAGGCTCCCAGTCAAAGTCCAGTGCTTCACACTCCCTGGCCCAGCTTCTCCTGGTGGAGCACTGCAAACAGCTGGCCTACTGGAGGATCACCCCAGGGTGGGCATCCTTAGGTGGTGCAGAATTGACAAAATGTCTCTATGCCAGCCCACCTCCCTGTGGCCAGCACTGGAGATGGTGCCAGGGCATCCTTGCACCCCAGTGGTCCACAGCTGTTGCTTAGGCCCCTTCAGACTATTGGCAGCTGGTGCAGGTTAAAGCAGCCCTCACAGGGACCATCCCAATGCACAGCCAGCCCAGGGTCAGGGGGTGTGCAAAGGTGATGCAGTCCACTCGAGTTATGCCATGTGAATCTCATCTGCAGCTGAGGAGCTGGGCTGTATGGATATAAATATCGACAGTGTGTAGCCATTTCTGAGGTGAAGGAAACGGCCGATCAGCAGACAAGCATGCTGTGCAGCACTGGATGAAAGGGAAAATTTGGCCCTATGGCAAACCCATCCTCTTATGGAAAGAGCCATGAGATGACGTCTCACAGCACACAGCCGATGCTCATAGCACACAGGTAAGGACCTGTGATTGCCTCCATCTTTCAGACAGGCAAATTGAGACACAACACAAAGAGCTGCACACAGCTCTGTGTGCTGTGATCAAGTTCAGAAACCATCAAACTGGTTGGAAATGAAACAATAAAAACTATGAAACCATCAAAAAAGAGAGTTCTGAATGAAACAATGTGTGTGTGTGTTTGGGGCAAGCAGGGGAAAGGAATAGCAGCTGATTAAAGAGACAGATACTTTTAGACACCAATCTTTTTGGGTAGAGGGGTCAAAAGTCAATCTGAAACTACTTGTATTAAATTTAGAAGACGGCTTTAGCACATGGTTTGGATTTTGCTTCCCCCATCACTAAAGCTAATTAGGCCAATCCCAGAGAGCCCCTGCTGATACCGAACACATGCGTGACACAAATTATTCCTTCAAACTGGAATCAGCGCCTCAGAGTGGAACATTAGCTCCCTCTTTAAGCAGGAGAAGAAATCAGGTAGCCAAGAGGTGTGCACATGTATGTGTGTGCATGCGTGTGTGCTTATGCATTTGTGTTTGTGAGAGTTTTGGAGGAGACTACATTTGAATGAAGAGTTTTGAACTCGTTATCTGGACTACATTCAAAGAATGTGAGAGCAATAATCATGTACATAAATGCAAGTGGTGGGAAGTGACTGGATAGGGGCCAAGAAAACAAAGGTTACTGGAACACACAGCCAGCGATCTCTCTCTCCCACTCACAGGATTCTGCTTGGGCTTTTGTGTTCACATGGTTATTTCTATTCCATGTTATGTGACTGTGGGAATGTAGAGAGTCTGACTCTCCTCTCTCTCACAGCAGTCTGTCTCCACTGATTTCAATCGGCAGAGGTGGAAGGGAAAGCTCACATCTATACTACACTATGGCTCTGATTCAGGAAAGTGCTTAAGCATGTGCTTGACTTCAGTGGGATTTGAGCACATGCTTAATGTTAAGTAGTGCTTTGCTGAATTGAGATGCTTTCCTGATGCGGGGTCTATATGCATGAATATACATTGTCAGAGGCAAATGTGTGTGTATGTCTGTAATATCTCTACCTACCAATCTAGAGATATGATTGTGCACACAAACAGACATGACATGATCCAAGGCAAGTGTGTGTATGTATATGATCAGTGGGGTCCATTGGCACAGCTTTTTTGACTAACAAAGCCAGGCTGATTTACACCAGCTGAGGATCTGCTCCCATGTCTGTACGCTGGTGAACACGCACATCTGCACACAAATCAGAACGAAGAAGACAACCCTTTCTCCTTGCACTCCACCTTGTATTCTCACTCAGACTCTTTGCAGATCAGAAGGGTTGGATTTCTCCCTCCCTTTGCACTAGTGGACATGATGATGCAAAGGGCAGGAGAATGCAGAATGAAGCCTGCTCTCTGGATGTATATGCTGGTAAATGCACCACTGGCAGGTTCTCATCACTTGTTTTACTGACCATTTATACTCCAGTAGTGCCCAGAGGTCCTGGCCAAGCTCAGGGCCTCGTGTGCTGTGTAGACAAATGATGAGGAATACCCCAGGGGACAGGAGTGAATGATGCAGATGATGGGGAAAGCCAGGGTTTGGGGCTGGAGGAAGCAACTTTGCAGATGGAGAGAGGAGCCCAGGAGTCCAGTCTGGAAGGGAGGGAATCAACAAGTGAGTCAGAAAAAGGAAGGGGCTCTGGAGCAGGGGACTGAGAGCAGTAGAAAGGTCATGGACATGGATGGGATGCAGCTCATAACAACGCCGGGTGAAGGGGTGGGTGCTGGGGGCACCAGAGCAATGAGGCAGTGGTTGAAGAGAGGGGCCATGGAAGGTGCAAGGTCAGAGATGGAGCAATACTACAGGGAGAGCAAGGTGGAGCAAGTAGCCCTTTAGCTGAGCAAGGGCTCGAGGAGGCGGGGGGTTAGCGAGTGGGAGGGGACACCAGAGTGGAAGCTGGAGTCACTGAGGACAAGGTCAGGGATTCAGAAGAGAGCCAGGACTCCAGGTCTAAGAGGAAGGTACTTTGGGAGGGTCTGGTGCATGGTAGCTGGCAGATGGGGGATGAGAGAAGAACTGAACAGTGTTGTACTACTGGGGAGGAGGAAGGTGGGGAGCAGCAGGAGGGGGAGGGGTGGAGCTTTTGACCCACCTGCCTCCTACAGACCTTCACTGACTTTGCTGCTTGTATTTCTTTTCATAGATCCCTATGAATGGGCCAGATCCCCAGATGAGGTCAATCAGCTGAGCTCCACTGACCTCTTTGGGGGTCTCACTGATTTCTCCACTGAGGATCCAACCCTGGACATTGCTAGTATCATGCAGGCTGTGCACGAGTGTCTGCAGATGGAATACACAGCTCCAGGCCTGAGACAGGTTGTGCCTGTTTGCATTCTTGTGCGTCATTGCATGTGTCCAATTTAACATCCGTTGGTGTCTTCACAACTTTCCCTACAGTACCTTGCTGAGGGTCTTCTTCAGGGCAGAATTGTCCTGCTTCAGCTCAAAGACTGATTGCTCCAGCTCCTTGTTCTCCCCTTCTAGGTGGGCTACAGTTCTCTGCAGTGTCAGCAGTCTCTCCTGGAGAATGTTGTTCTCATCCTGCATGTTGTGCAGCGATGCTATAGCCTCCTGCTCACTCTGCTGCTGACGATGGACTATCTGTGACATACCCAAGAGATGGACTGTAAGGTTTTGGGGCCAGATCCCCAGCTGGGGTAACACTGCTGCATCAGGTTGGGGAAGGTGGGGGCTTTAAGGAATTCTTATGCCTAGTGAGAGTTCAAATCCAGGCACCAGCTGAACAGAGCAGTTGCATTTCAGAGTTAATAACAGTGTGATGCCTGTACCTCTGTGCTCTACTCTTACAGGAAGCAACTACAAGAGTCAGACTCCTTAGAATAGTGACATGTAGGCCTATGATTTACAGACAACATTTTCAATGTCATGTGCCTAAAGCTAGGCACCAAAAGCCATAAGTAGGCACCTAAATTAATGGAATGATTGCTATGGGAGCTAGGCCCACGGGAAATGGGCTGGGTGCCTAGGTCTGAAAAAAGTTGGCCTACTCTTTTTTGGAGCAGATATCTTCTATCTGTAAAATTGCCCCTGGCACCTGGCAATACTGGAACCCGACATTCACCAGGCCAGCCTCTTGGTAATGATAGCATCTATGGTCCAAGCGGTGAGTGTTTCATCACATGTCAGGTCTGGTGAATATAGGCTTATTGGGACATTCAAAATGGTTAAAGAGTTAAGGTTAAAGATACAGGGCCAGCTCTTGGCTGATGCAAAGCAGTGTGGCTCCATTGAGTTGTGCAGCATACACAGTTGTATTTCACTGTTCCAAGTAACATGGCAAAATGGCTATTGGTAGGCTACAAACTTCACAGCAGACTGCTGTACTACATGTCACATGCGAAGGGACACCCTGTCATGAAATGGATCATGCGGCACAGGAGAACGAGATGCCGCCCAACCTGTCTCCAGGCTCATTTTGTCACCTCAGTTTGGGAGGTGATGCATTTTCACACACTATTAGGCTGAGGAGGCCAACCCTTCTTTGGGATTGGTGCTGTGCAGATTGAGGCTGGTGTAAAGTGATGCAGCCACAGGAGGAAAAAATGGTTACTCACCTCTCGTAACTGTTGTTCTTTGAGATGTGTTCCTCAAATCCATTCCAATTAGGTGTATGCACGCTACGTGCACAGTTGTCGGAAAGTTTTCCCCCGAGCAGCACCCGTCAGGTTGGCTGTGGAGCTCCCTGGAGTGGTGCCTTCATGGCGCTCAATATATGATGACACTGCCGACCCGGTGCCTCCTCAGTTCCTTCTTGCTGGCTACTCCAATAGAGGGGAAGGCCGGCGGGTTTGGAATGAATATGAGGAACACATCTCGAAGAACAACAGTTACGAGAGGTGAGTAACCGTTTTTTCTTCTTCGAGTGATTGCTCATAACCATTCCAATTAGGTGACTCCCAAGCCGTACCCAGGCGGTGGGGTCGGAGTTAAGGAAACGCTGATTGTAGAACCGCTCTACTGAAAGCTGCATCGTCTCTGGCGTGCCGGACGATGGTGCAGTGAGAAGTGAAGGTATGCATCGAGGACCAAGTCGCTGCCCTGCAGATTTCTTGGATCGGGACCTGGGCCAGGAATGCAGCTGATGAGGCCTGGGTCCTAGTGGAGTGTGCTGTGAGAGCTGGGATTGGCACTCAGGCCAGTCCATAGCACGTGCGGATGCAGGACAAGATCGAGGAGGATGTTCTTTGAGATGAGACTGGGAGTCCTTTCATCTGGTCTGCCACCGCTATGAACAGCTAGCTTGATTTTCTGAATGGCTTAGAGCACTCGATGTAGAAAGCTAGTGCTCTTCCAACATCAAGGGAGTGTAGCTGCTGCTCCCAGGTACTGGCATGAGGCTTAGGGTAAAAGACAGGCAGAAAAATGTCCTGGCTGGTGTAGAAGTGCGATACTACCTTGGGAAGGAAGGCCGGGTGTGGCCTGAGTTGCACCTTATCCTTGTGGAAAACCATGTAAGGCGGTTCAGAGGTGAGGGCCTTTAGCTCAGACACCCTCCTCGCAGACGTAATGGAAACCAGGAAAACTACCTTCCAAGACAGATACAGGAGAGAGCACATCACCCATGGTTCGAATGGGGGCCCCATGAGCCTGGAGAGGACCAGGTTAAGGTCCCATGCAGGGACAGGCTGCCTGATCTGAGGATGTAGGCGCTCCAAACCTTTGAGGAAGTGACGAACCATATGGTTGGCGAAGACAGATCGACCAGATGCTCCTGGGTGGAAGGCCGAGATAGCAGCGAGGTGTACCCTTATGGAAGATGCCGCCAGGCCTTGCTGTTTCAGATGTAGGAGGTACTCTAAGATGAGGAGTACCGGTACCTGGAGGGGGTGTGTGCGACGCTGGTCACACCAACACAAGAATCTTTTCCACTTTGCCAGATACGTGGCTCTAGTGGAGGGCTTCCTGCTGCCAAGGACCTTCCTTACTCGTTCTGAGTACAGAAGTTCCATGGGGTTCAGCAATGAAGCTTCCAAGCCATGAGGTGGAGGGATCGTAGGTCGGGGTGACAGAGGTGACCATGGTCCTGAGTAAGTCGGGGAGGAGATGTAACATGACTGGTGTGTCCACTGACAGCTCCAGTAGCGTGGTGTACCAGTGCTGGCGAGCCCACACTGGAGCTATCAGAATTACCTTTGCCCCTCCCTGCGGACCTTGAGCAGGACTTTGTGCATAAGAGGGAATGAGGGAAAGGCATAGAGCAGGCGACCTCTCCAGGATAGCAGAAATGCGTCTGTGAGGGAGCCTGGGCTGCAACCCTGGAAGGAGCAAAACATTGGGCACTTCCTGTTGTGTCGAGTGGCAAACAGGTCAACCTGGGGAAACCCCCATCTTTAGAAGACGAGGTGTATGACATCTAGTTGGATGGACCACTCGTGAGTGTGGAAGGACCTGCTGAGCCAGTCCGCCAGCATGTTCTGAACTCCAGGTAGAAAGGATGCTTCCAGGTGAATGGAGTGGGCTATGCAGAACTCCCACAGATGAAGGGCTTCCTGGCACAGGGGAGAGGAACGAGCTTCCCCTTGCTTGTTGATGTAAAACATGGTGGTGGTGTTGTCCATTAGAACTGCTATGCACTGGCCTTGCAGTCGGGCCTGGAAGGCCTGGCAAGCAAGGCACACCGCCCTCAGCTCCTTGACATTGATATGTAGGGAGAGCTTATCCTATGACCACAGGCCCTGTGTCTGGAGGTCCCCCTGATGCGCCCCCATCCCAGAGCTGATGTGTTCATAACCAGGGACAAGGAAGGTTGAGGGTTGTGGAAGGAGACTCCTCTGCACACCGCTAGGGGGTCAAGCCACCAGCGAAGGGACGTGAGGATCTGCCCTGGCACCTTGACCCCTGAATTCAAGCTGTCGCACCCCGGGCAGTAGACCAAGGCGAGCCATGCCTGCAACAGTCTGAGCCGCAGCCTAGCATGCCAGGTCACTTAAGTGGAAGAAGCCATGTGGCCGAGGAGACTCAGGCACCCCCTTGCTGTTGAGGTTGGGAATTGCTGGAGGCTTTTAATTATGTCCGTGATGGCTCAGAATCGGGACTCCGGTAGAAGTGCCCACGCCTGGACCAAGTCTAACGCTTCTCCAATGAATTCTATTCTCTGGGTCGGTTCCAGGGTCGACTTCCCCAAGTTGAGGAGGAGAACCAGTCACTCAAACATGACCTGACCAAACGGATTTGAGTCTGCACCTGCGCCCTGGTCCGGCCCCTGAGCAGCCAGTCATCGAGGAGGGGTATATCTGCACCTGCTGGTGATGGTGGAAAACAGCCACAATCAACATGCACTTGGTGAACATTCAGGGGGCTGTTGAGAGGCTGGATTGTAGGGCAGCAAATTGATAATGTTTGTGGTTGACCACAAAGCGCAGGAAGTGCCTGTGTGCTGGACGGATTGCTATATGGAAGTACGCATCCTTCATGTCGAGGGCAGCATACCAGTCTCCCAAATCCAGGAAGGGGATAATAGTGCCCAGGGAGACTATGCAGAACTTCAACTTTACCATGAATTCGTTGAGCCCACGCAGATCTAGGATGGGTCTGAGACCCCCTTTGGCCTTGGCGATTAGGAGGTATCGGGAGTAGAATCCCTTGCCCTTTAGCTCCTGAGGAACCTCCTCCACCACTCCCATGGCAAGGAGTGCCTGCACCTCCTGGAAAGGAGATGGGAGGGAGGATAGGAGCAGAACTGGAGACAGTATTCTGCTTCCACCATGCGGAGGATCCAGCAGTCTGAGGTTATTTGGGATCAGGCATGGCAGAAGTGGGACAAACGATTCAAAAAGGGTGGGGAAGGATCTGGGAATGAGTCTGGTGCGCTGTCCTCCGGCATCCCTTTAAAAGGCTTGCTTGGAACCCGACGATGGTTTGTTTGGGCCCTGGCCTTGTCTGGAAGGGGGTTGGAAGGCTTCCTTCTGCCCTTCCTGCCCCTTTGTCTGTAAAAGTCCAGCCTCGGCCGAGGAGGGTAGGAATGCTGCTGCAGCTGTTGGGGCTTGAAATGCTTCCGTGGGTTGCTGGGGTGTGCATACCCAAGGATTTCAAAGTAACCCTTGAGTCTTTTAGGCTATGCAGCCGAGAGTCAGTCTGCTCCATAAACAGGACCGCCCCATCAAAAGGCAGGTCCTGCATTGTCTGCTGAACCTCGGGTGGTAGGCCCGAGGCTTGCAACCATAAGGTGTGCCTCATGGCAATACCTGAGGACAAGGTGCACGCTGCTGAGTCCGCAGAGTCCAGTAAGGCCTGTAAAGAGGTCCGTGCCACCGCCCTGCCCTCCTCTACTATGGCCCCAAACTCCTCCCTGGACTGAGTTGGCACAAGCTCCTGGAACTTGAGCATCGGGTTCCAGGAGTTGAAGTTATATCGGCTCAGAATTGCCGGCTGGTTGGCAATCCTGAGCTGGATCCCCCCGACCCCCGTAGAGTACACTTTACGCCCAAACAAGTCCAGGAACTTGGCCTCCTTGGACTTGGGTGCTGGGGCCTGCTGCCCCTGCCTCTCTTTCTCATTTACAGCCACAACCACCAATGAACAGGGCTGCGGGTGCGTAAAGAGGTATTCGTACCCCTTTGAGGGCACAAAGTACTTCCTCTCAATGCCCTTGGCTGTGGGAGGGATGGAGGCCAGAGTCTGCTAGATAGTCTTGGCATTGGCCTATATAATTTTGATGAGGGGCAGAGCCACCCTTGAAGGACCTTCTGGGGCTAAAATGTTGACCACTGGGTCTTCTGACTCCACCACCTCCTCAGCTTGCAGGCCCATGTTGAGTGCCACCCTGCACAGGAATTCCTGGTGGGTGCAGCTGTCTACAGGAGGCGGTCCAGAGATGGAACTGCCTGCGATGGCCTTGTCTGGGGAGGAGGATGAAGAGGCTAATGGGGGAACAGGGTTCTCCTGCCCCTCCTGCTCATCAGGAGCCTGACAACCTGTGTCACTGGTAGCCCCAGGCTCAGGAACTGGAGTTGGAGTTGGTTCTAAGTGGAGACAGGGGCATGGCCCTTCAGCACCCCTAAGGGTGGGGCGACTGGCTGAGGCCTCTGCCACCCTTGGTTCAGAGGTGGCCAATTGGGAACCTTTAGACTGGGTGCCGTGGGCCTGGTGGTACACCCATGGGATCCAAAATGGCCACTGTGCTGGTCCCTGCCACTGTGCAGGCCATGGTCCTGCCCCCACCTCAGAGTGTCCATGGCCAGACTGGTGCTGGTCCTGCTCCAAATACCTAGATCCCACCTCCGAGTATGAGCACTGGGATCGGGACTGCAAGGGCCAGGGTGGAGCCAAGTGGCGCTGAGCTGGGGAGCAGTGCCGCGACTTGGAGCTACGCGGGGTCGTCAAGCAGCATCGGGACCATTGCCAGGTCCAGGACCTGCTTTGTGAAGGAGACTGACGTGCAGATCGGTGTCACGAGTGGGAGCGCTGGCGTGACCTGGAGCGGTGCCACGATTGCGAGCAGTGCTGGTACTCCGAGTGGTGCTGGGACTCGATCAGCGGTGCCAACCGCTGGATCATTTCTGGTTTGCCTCGAGATGGCACCATACGATGCAGTACTGGAGGCTAGGCGCGAATCCTTGGCGCTGTCGTGGTGATGAGGTCCCTCACTGCCACAAAGGTGTCTGGAGTGGATGGCAGCTCCAACTCCTCGATGATGTGGGCGGGGGAGTCCAATGGCACTGGACTCGACAGTCCCCCTTACGGGGCCAAAGTCAACGGTGCCGTCTCCACAGGCTTCGGCACTGGGTGCTCCTCACAGGGACTCACCCCACTGGCCGGCTCCAGAGGGGTAGGCCTCTGGGACAGAGAGCCACTCCTCCCTTGTTTCTGGTGCCACTTATGCGCCAGGGAGTGGTGCCAGGTCGATCCTGCCAGTTTCAGTGCCAGGGAGTGGCAGTTCGCAGTTCTCTGCTACAGTCTATCCGCGGTGTCGCTTCCACCACTGCTGCTGGGGCACTACGCACCGAAGAACTTGGTGCTGGGTCCTGCAGCGCCGAAGGAGGCTGAGGGCTAAGTGTCGCCTCCATAAGGAGCTGCTTAAGGCAAAAGCCTCACTCCTTTTTGGTTCTGGGTAGAAGCCCCTTACAAATCCTGCACCAATCAGTTTGGTGAGCCTCCTCCAGACACTTCAGACAAACGTCGTGAGGGTTGCCCGTTGGCATGGGCTTGGAGCAGGACTTGCAGGGCTTGAACCCCTGGGACTTGGGCATGAAAGCCCTCCCAAGAGAAAGCAGTCAGGATAGAGGGTAAACCCCCCAAGCCCAACTGCTACAAACTACTACTAAAATAAACTAAATACAAAGATATAAGAAACAACAAGAAAAACAAGAGCTAAGGAAACATGGAGAACTTGCTAAGCAAGACGCCACAGTTCCAATGTCCGTCACTGGCGGTAAGAAGGAACTGAGGAGGCACCAGGTCGGCAGGGTCATATATTGAGTGCCATGAAGGCACCACTCCAGGGGGCTTCATAGCCGACCCGATGGGTGCTGCTAGGGGAAAAACTTTCCAATGACTGTGCACACAGCGCGCACACACCTAATTGGAATCGATATGAGCAATCACTCGAAGAAGAACTGTGTCATTTTACACCACCAGAAAATGGGTCCCAACAGTTTCAGAGAGGACGGCTTTGTGGCTCCCTCAGTGTTTCTATATCTGGTTTCTCTTCTCGACTTTTTCTCTTTGGGCCCAGTTCTGTTCTCAGTCCAGCAATGTATATTTGGAATAATTCTACTAGATTTACACCACACAGCTGAAACCAGAGTCAGGACCTCTATCCCTACCAGTCTACATTTGTGTCTCTTTCGTGCTTCCTCTTGCTGTTTTTTCTATTCCATCTTTTGTGGTCTTCTTTCCCATAATAAATACATACAGAACAACCAATACATAATTAAATACTACCCTACATGTATATAGTGCCTTTCATCCCACAGGGTTTTACTAACCATTGTATAAACAGCTATTCCTTATTTTATGTCTTTGAAGCTGTGATGGGGCAGTGATGGGACAAGCCCCACACTGGCAATGACAGGGTTAAGGAGAGCCTGTGGACCCAGTTGACCCCATCTGCTATACCTGCAACCAATGGCAGGTGTGGAGAGAGGAGCTGAAAGGTGGAAGAGACCTAGCCCCGGGAAGGAGAGTAGAGATCTGCTGCTTCCTTGGGGAGGGCACCAGCTCCAGATGAGAGCCTAAGGCAGCTTGTGGCATGGAGGAGCCATGTGGTGGACAGGATGACCAGGGCCAGGCAGACTGACAAAAAGAGACCAGCCTCAGGGAGGCAAGCCCAGACCACAGGGGTGGAGCCCTGGTTTTGAAGTGCACTGTTTTCATTTTTGGTTTGGACTCACACACACCAGAAAGGGTAAGACTTCAGTGTGCCACAGGAGGGGGTTGAAGGCACCATGGCATCAGTTCCAGAAGGGGCAACACCTGACCACTCGAGACCCGCACTGGAGTGTGTTGTGTCTTGATGTGCCACAAAAGGGGGTGCTGCCTAGACAACCTGGTAAAAGGGTCAGGCACGTCTGGGGTAGAACACAGCAGCTGGTTAACAGCCTAGAACTACACTACACAACAGGCTTGTGGGAAGTGAAGACTACTCTATGCAGCTGATACGGCGCTAGCCAACATCTACTTCCCCCAGCTGCAATTAGGCCCCTCCATTGAAGCTGACTCCGCTCCTCTTGTAAAAGGGATGTAGGATCATTAATGCCCACAAGTACTTGGGGTCACAGTTTTGTGTCTCAATGAGAGCCCAGTCTCTCCAGTGGCACAGGGCCCTCTGCCCCATGGGAGGACATTTGCTTAACTAACTCTGAAGAAGGCGTGCTACCTCCTGAGCCACCAGTCCCATTTCCCACAGCATGCTGGGTTACTTGGAGGGCTCCCATCCAGCTGCTGACCCTGCTTAGCTGGATGGGAGGGTCTGAGTCTTCCCCCTCCTCCCATCTTCTTTCCCCTCCTTGTTGGCACTTCCCCCCTTGCTATGGCCCAGCTTCTCCTCAGGAATTATGTACACTAACTGGTGCCTCGACTGGGATCAGGGCCCCCTGTACTAGGTGCGGTACACATGCTCCATATCTAAACAAGCAAAGGAAGCAGTATTATGAGGGGGAACTGAGGCCTAGATAGGCTAAGTGACTCACCCAAGGACAGACAGGAATATGTGGCAGAGCAGGGACTTGAAATCAGATCTCCCAAGGCTGCGTCTAGGGTCTTTAGCTCAAGGCCATCCTTCCTCTCTCCCCCACTCACCTCCTGCAGGTGCTTGACCTGAGCCTCCAGTTCCCTGCACCTCAGCTCCAGCTCTCCCAGCTGGTCCTGCAGCATGTGCATGGTGTCTGTCAGGCCGTGGTTCTGCCTCTTGCTGTCTGACAGTGCCTGCCGCACAGAGTCCAAGCGCTCCTGAGAAAGGAATGGGTCACTCAGAGGAAACATTCAGAACCCAGGCACTGACTGCTACCTCAGCCCTGCCAGGTCTGCCTGTTCTTAATGCCCTGCACGTGTTAGCTGGCATCCACCTGGCCCTTCATGTGCAACAAGATATATGCATTGTATATCCCAGTACAGAGCTCTGTCATTGCAAGCGTACTTTAGGCCAGGTCCCCAGCTACGGGCCAGGTCCCAGCTGTTGGCCAGATCCCTACCTATTAGTCAGGTCCCCAGCTGGGGTGACTCGGCGTCGCTCCACTGGGGTCTGTGGGCCAGGTGCCCAGCTGGGGTGACTCACTGTCTATCCACTGTAGTCTACGGGTCAGGTGCCCAGCTGGGGTGACTCACTGTCTATGCACTGTAGTCTACGGGTCAGCTGCCCAGCTGCGGTGACTCATTGTCACTCCATTGGAGCCTATGGGCCAGGTCCCCAGCTGGGATGAATTGGCATAGTTTCATTATAGCTATGTTGGGAATCATTAAGAAAGGGATAGATAATAAAACAGAAAATATCATATTGCCTCTATATAAATCCATGGTATGCCCACATCTTGAATATTGCGTGTAGGTATGGTCGCCCCATCTCAAAAAAGATATTGGAATTGGAAAAGGTTCAGAAAAGGGCAATAAATATTATTAGGGGTATGGAACAGCTGCCGTATGAGGAGAGATTAATAAGACTGGGACTTTTCAGCTTGGAAAAGAGATGAATAAGGGGGGATATGCTAGAGCTTTATAAAATCATGACTGATGTGGAGAAAGTGAATAAGGAAGTGTTATTTACTCCTGCTCATATCACAAGAACTAGGGATCTCCAAATTAAATTAATAGGCAGCAGGTTTAAAACAAAAAAAAGGAAGTATTTCTTCACACATCGCACAGTCAACCTGCGGACCTCCTTGCCAGAAGATGTTGTGAAGGCCAAGATTATAACAGGGTTAAAAAAAGAATTAGATAAATTCATGGAGGATAGAACAATGAGGAGTCCTTGTGGCACCTTAGAGACTAACAAATTTATTTGGGCATAAGCCACTTCACCAGAGTAAGCAATATATATATCACGGCACATGAAAAGATGGGAGTTGCCTTTCCAAGTGGTGGGTCAGTGCTAACGAGGCAAATACAATTAAGGTGGAAGTGGCCTATTCTCAACAGTTGACAAGAAAGGGTGAATATCAAGAGAGGGAAAATTACTTTTGTAGTGCTAACAAGGCCAATGCAATCAAGGTGGACGTTGCCCATTTCCAACTGTTGACAAGAAGGTGTGAGTATCAGCAGAGGGAAAATTACTTTTTGTAGTGACCCATCTATTCCCAGTCTTTATTCAGGCCTAATTTGATGGTGTCCAGTTTGCAAATTAATTCCAGTTCTGCAGTTTCTTGTTGAAGTCTGTTTCTGAAGTTTTTTTGTTGAAGAATTGCCACTTTTAAGTCTGTTATTGAGTGTCGAGGGAGACTGAAGTGCTCTCCTACTGGTTTTTGAATGTTACAGTTCTTGATGTCTGATTTGTGTCCATTTATTCTTTTGCATAGAGACTGTCTGGTTTGGCCAAGGTACATGGGAGAGGGGCATTGCTGGCACGTGATGGCATATATCACATTGGTAGATGTGCCGGTGAACGAGCCCCTGATGGTGTGGCTGATGTGGTTAGATCCTATGATGGTGTCCCTTGAATAGATATGCGGACAGAGTTGGCAGCGGGGTTTGTTGCAGGGATTGGTTCCTGGGTTAGAATAATAAAATATCAGGGTTGGAAGGGACCTCAGGAGGTCATCTAGTTCAACCCCCTGCTCAAAGCAGGACCAATCCCCAACTAAATCATCCCAGCCAGGGCTTTGTCAAGCCTGACCTTAAAAACCTCTAAGGAAGGAGATTCCACCACCTCCCTAGGTAACCCATTTCAGTGCTTCACCACCCTCCTAGTGAAAAAGTTTTTCCTAATATCCAACCTAAACCTCCCCCACTGCAACTTGAGACCATTACTCCTCATTCTGTCATCTGCTACCACTGAGAACTGTCTAGAGCCATCCTCTTTGGAACCCCCTTTCAGGGGAAAGCAGCTATCAAATCTCTCCTCATTCTTCTCTTCTGCAGACTAAATAATCCCAGTTCCCTCAGCCTCTCCTCATAAGTTCCCTCAGCCTCTCCTCAAACCTCAGGACAAGCTGGCTGAAAGGACTACTAATGTTTGCTGCCATGGAGGAGAGCCAGGGCCCAGCCCCAAGCAGGCTAGGCTAATTACAGGGCTGCGCTGACATCGTGCTAAATCCACAGGTTTGTGGATTTCCAGACTGAAAGGGCCCATTCTGCCCATCTAGCCTGACCTCCAAGGGAACTCAGGCCTGCAAACTTCTCTCTGGGAGGTCCTTCAGCCAGCTGCCTTCCCTGTGATCTCTGAATGGGGCAGCTTCCCCTTGGGCCATGCTTCACCCAAACATTGGTTTGTTCCAAGACATTGCGATATTTCAGCTGGGCAAACCCCAGCGCATTGGTGCCAAAGGGAGTGTTTACAAGCCCCCGTTCAGGCTGAGTTCCACCTGGTGCTGATCCCAGTGCTCCGCTCTCTGGTGGGGCACGGTGCATCCTGCAGCACAGGGTGTTTGTGGGGTGGATTGGACCCCACTGGGATGTACACTGGTGGGTTCAGCAAGTGCAATGGCCTTCCCAACTGTGTCCAAAGGGCCAGTGGCTGTGCTGACACCTTTCCCCTGCTCAGTCCCACCCCCACATTGCCTGCTTGCCCAGTGCTGAGGAGAAGGGGTGGGACCATTACCTGGAGCACCCGGCGGTCTTGCTCCGCTGCTGTCAGAGCCTTCTGCAGCTGGCAGATGTTCTCCTGAAGGGTGGAGGACCCCATGGAGGCATCAGTCAGTGCCTGGGAAAGGCTCCGTACCTTGACCTTCAGGTGGCTCTCCTCATCCTCTTTCTGGGTCAGGGAGTGACCCAAGTGGCCCAGCTCCAGCTGCAGCTTGGCTGATTTGCTCTCACTGTCCCCCAACTGGCAGCGCAGGGCCTGGACCTGCTCCTGCAGGGCCTGGATCTTGGTATCTCGGTCCACCAGGCTGAGCTGGACATGCTGAAGTTCCCCTTCCATGGAGCAACGGCTCAGCTCCAGCTTGGTGGCCCTGTTCTCGGCTGCCTCCAGGACTTCCTTCAGCCTCCGCTTGTCCGTCTCCAGCTTGATATCCTTGGCTTTCAGCCTAGTGACCTTCTCCTAAAAAACAAAGGTGACCTACCTCAGCAACGTGTATCATCCTTTCCACCACTGCCTGCAGTGTGCTACCCTCTCGTGCACGTGCTCACCCCTCCACACTCCTCACTTGCACGCCTGCTCCCCCCTAGCGCACTGGCCCGCCCCTCCACACTCCCCTTGTGCACGTCGGCTCGCCCCTTTCTGCTCCCCGTTTGCACCAGCAGCCCGGCCCGCCCCTCCACGCTCCCCCCTCGCACACTGGCCTGCCTCTCCACGCTTCCGCACCTGCTCCCCGCTCGCATGCCAGCCCACCCCTCCACGGTCCCCACGCCTGCTCCTCCCTCACATGCTGACCCGCCCCTCCATGCTTGCCCCTCACTTGCCCACCAGCCAGCCCACCCACCTGCCCCTCCACGCTCGCTGCTTGCCCCTCGTGCGCCAGCCCGGCCCGCCCCTCCATGCTCCCTGTTCATGCGCCTGCTCCCCCCTCACACGCTGGCCTGCCCCTCCACGCTCCCTGCTCGCATGCCTGCTTCCCCCTCACGCACTGGCCTGCCCCTCCACGCTCCCTGCTCGCATGCCTGCTTCCCCCTCACGCACTGGCCTGCCCCTCCACGCTCCCTGCTCGCATGCCTGCTTCCCCCTCACGCACTGGCCTGCCCCTCCACGCTCCCTGCTCGCATGCCTGCTTTCCCCTCACGCACTGGCCTATCCCTCCATGCTCCCTGCTTGGGCACTTGTTCCCTCCTCATGCGCCAGCCCATCACATTTCCCCCCCCACATGCCTGCTCCCCCCCCCCCCCACGTGCCAGACCATCACGCTCCCCACTCGGGCATCTACTCCCCCTCGCGCATTGGCTCACCCCTCCACACTCCCCGCTCACGTGCCGTCTCTCCCCTCATGCATGCTGCCCCCTCCCTGTGTCAGCCTGCCCAGCTCCCCCCACACTTGCTTTCCCTGACCTGCTTTGGCCTTCCTCCACCACTCCACAGGCCAGCTCCCTGCCCTGTGCACTGCTCTGCCACACTCTCTGTAACGCATGCCCAGTTAAAAGCCAGCGGCATCCCTGCACTTGCCTAGTAGCCTGGCGCCTGGCCCACGTCCCAGTGCTGTCCAGGGACAGCCCCGGGTGCTATATTAGGAGGGTTCTTGGCCTTGTGTGGTGCCTAGAGATTGGTAGAAGGTGTGTAGGTGTGTAGTGGGGCAGGGTATGGGGGGCAAGATGGGAGGACACAGATCAGGGGCAGCTCTGGCTGGGAATCAGGTTCCTAGTGTGACTAGCGATAACAGGAAGGGGAATTTGCCAGGACTGGATGATCCATGGAGTTCTGTGGGCTGTGATGGGCCTGTCCTGGGCAGCCTGGCAGCTCTGGAGTGGGAGCAATCACCAGGGCCTTGTCTAAACACAGAACAGTACCAGGGCAACTAACAGTGTGAGGTGGCACCGGTTTAGCTAGCTCACAGCAGCTGGTGCCTGTGGGGCTCTACAGAGGTGTAAACCTGGCCTGGAGCCGTGTCACGTGTCACCAGTCGCCCGGGAATAAATGTGTATGGATGAGCCCTTTCTGTAGGCACTCCGGGGGTCTCTGCACTCCCTAGAGAAGCACATTTGTCTATGGAGGCCAGCTGATCCCTAGCAGACATAGATTCATAGACATTAAGGTCAGAAGGGACCATTATGATCATCTAGTCTGACCTCCTGCACAATGCAGGCCACAGAATTTCACCCACCCACTCCTACAATAAACCTCTCACCTATGTCTGACCTATTGAAGTCCTCAAATCATGGTTTAAAGACTTCAGGGTGCAGAGAATCCTCCAGCAAGTGACCCGTGCCCCATGCTGCAGAGGAAGGCGAAAAACCTCCAAGGCCTTTTCCAATCTGCCCTGGAGGAAAATTCCTTCCCGACTCCAAATATGGCGATCAGCTGAACCCTGAGCATATGGGCAAGGTTCACCAGCCAGATACCCAGGAAAGAATTCTCTGTAGTAACTCAGGTCCCACCCCATCTAACATCCCATCACAGGCCATTGGGCCTATTTACCATGAATAGTTAAAGATCAATTAATTGCCAAAATCATATTATCCCATCATACCATCTCCTCCTTAAACTTATTGAGTTTAATCTTAAAACCAGATAAGTCTTTTGCCCCCACTGCTTCCCTTGGAAGGCTGTTCCAGAACCTCACTCCTCTGATGGTTAGAAACCTTTGTTTAATTTCAAGTCTAAACTTCCCGATGGCCAGTTTATATCCATTTGTTCTTGTGTCCATATTGGTACTGAGCTTAAATAATTTCTCTCTCTCTCTGGTATTTATCCCTCTGATATATTTATCAAGAGCAATCATATCTCCCCTCAGCCTTCTTTTGGTTAGGCTAAACAACCCAAACTCCTTGAGTCTCCTTTCATAAGACAGGTTTTCCATTCCTCGGATCATCCTAGTAGCCCTTCTCTGTACCTGTTCCAGTTTGAATTCATCCTTCTTAAACATGGGTGACCAGAACTGCACACAGTATTCCAGGTGAGGTCTCACCAGTGCCTTGTATAATGGTACTAACACCTCCTTATCTCTACTGGAAATACCTTGCCTGATGCATCCCAAGACCGCATTAGGTTTTTTCACAGACATATCACATTGGCAGCTCATAATCATCCTGTGGTCAGCCAATACTCCAAGGTCCTTCTCCTCCTCTGTTACTTCTAATTGATGCGTCCCCAGCTTATAACTAAAATTCTTGTTATTAATGCCTAAATGCATGACCTTACACTTTTCACTATTAAATTTCATCCTATTACTATTACTCCAGTTTACAAGGTCATCCAGATCCTCCTGTATGATATTCCTGTCCTTCTCTAAATTGGCAATACCTCCCAGCTTTGTATCATCCGCAAACTTTATTAGCACACTCCCACTTTTTGTGCTCAGGTCAGTAATAAAAAGATTAAATAAGATTGGTCCCAAAACAGATCCCTGAGGAATTCCACTGGTAACCTCCCTCCAGCCTGACAGTTCACCTTTCAGTATGACCCACTGTAGTCTCCCCTTTAACCAATTCCTTATCCACCTTTCAATTTTCATATTGATCCCCATCTTTTCCAATTTAACTAATAATTCCCCATGTGGCACTGTATCAAATGCCTTACTGAAATCTAGGTAAATTAGATCCACTGTGTTTCCTTTGTCTAAAAAATGTGTTTCTTTCTGGAAGAAAGAAAAGGAGTACTTGTGGCACCTTAGAGACTAACAAATTTATTGGACCATAAGCTTTCGTGAGCTACAGCTCACTTTATCGGATGCATGCAGTGGAAAATACAGTGGGGAGATTTTATATACACAGAGAACATGAAACAATGGATGTTACCATACACACTGTAACGAGAGTGATCAGGTATGGTGAGCTATTACCAGCAGGAGAGAGGAAAAAAAACCCACCTTTTGTAGTGCTAATCAAGGTGGGCCATTTCCAGCAGTTGACAAGAATGTGTGAGGAACAGTGGGGGGCAGGGGAGGGGGAATAAACATGGGGAAATAGTTTTACTTTGTGTAATGACACATCCACTTCCAGTCTTTATTCAAGCCTAAATTAATGGTGTCCAGTTTGCAAATTAATTCTAATTCAGCAGTCTCTCGTTGGAGTCTGTTTTTGAAGATTTTTGGTGAAGAATTGCCACTTTTAGGTCTGTAATCGAGTGACCAAAGAGATTGAAGTGTTCTCCGACTGATTTTTGAACGTTGTAATTCTTGACGTCTGATTTGTGTCCATTTTTTCTTTTACATAGAGACTGTCCAGTTTGGCCAATGTACACAGCAGAGGGGCATTGCTGGCACATGATGGCATATATCACATTGGTAGATGTGCAGGTGAATGAGCCACTGATCGTGTGGCTGACATTGATGACATCTTCATCATCTGGACCCATGGAAAAGAAGCCCTTGAGGAATTCCACCATGATTTCAACTATTTCCATCCCACCATCAACCTCAGCCTGGATCAGTCCACACAAGAGATCCACTTCCTGGACCCTACGGTACTAATAAGCAATGGTCACATAAACACGACCCTATACCGGAAACCTACTGTTTGCCATACTTACTACATGCCTCCAGCTTTCATTCAGACCAAACCACACGATCCATTGTCTACAGCCAAGCTCTACGATACAACTGCATTTGCTCCAACCCCTCAGACAGAGACAAACACCTACAAGATCTGTATCAAGCGTTCTTACAACTACAGTGCCCACCTGCTGAAGTGAAGAAACAGAATGACAGAGCCAGAAGAGTACCCAGAAGTTACCTACTACAGGCCCAACAAAGAAAATAACAGAACGACACTAGCCATCACCTTCAGCCCCCAACTAAAACCTCTCCAGCGCATCATCAAGGATCTACAACCTATCCTGAAGGACGACCCATCGCTCTCACAGATTTTGGCAGACAGGCCAGTCCTTGCTTACAGACAGCCACCCAACCTGAAGCAAATACTCACCAGCAACCACACACCACACAACAAAACCACTAACCCAGGAACCTATCCTTGCAACAAAGCCCATTGCCAACTGTGTCCACATATCTATTCAGGGGACACCATCATAGGGCCTAATCACATCAGCCACACTATCAGAGGCTCGTTCACCTGCACATCTACCAATGTGATATATGTCATCATGTGCCAGCAGTCCCTCTGCCATGTACATTGGCCAAACTGGACAGTCTCTACGTAAAAGAATAAATGGACACAAATCAGACGTCAAGAATTAGAACTTTCAAAAACCAGTCGGAGAACACTTCAATCTCTCTGGTCACTCGATTACAGACCTAAAAGTGGCAATTCTTCAACAAAAAAACATCAAAAACAGATTCCAATGAGAGACTGCTGAATTGGAATTAATTTGCAGACTGGATACAATTAATTTAGGCTTGAATAAAGACTGGGAGTGGATGTGTCATTACACAAAGTAAAACTATTTCCCCATGTTTATTTCCCCCCCTACTGTTCCTCACATGTTCTTGTCAA